CAATTGAGCTAACCGCCTCCCGGTTAGCTCAATTGGTAGAGCGCCGGACTGTTGTGCGGGAGGTCGTGAGTTCAAATCCGGCCGGACCAACACTCAGGGTCTTTAATTAACTGAGAAGAAAGTGCTGCCTTTGTAATAATATCTGCAAATGGTTAGACTTTCTAGTCTTCTCGGATAGGGACGATAAATGGAGGTCCCGTCTCCTGCAGGGTTGGGGTAGGAGACGTTAATTTCCCACACACGAGATTACTGTGTGATGGATGTCCTCCCCGGGGTGGGATGGGTGGGTAAAACAGGGTTAGGTGTCAATTGGAATGAAAGTTCTGTTCCTTTCTCCTGCCATTCCTGTGGTGAATGAAGTAAACTAAACTAAACTAAGCAAGTGTGGACAAATTATTTGTTGTTTCCCTTCTAAAGTGAGTTGTTTTAATTCGAAAGAGTCCTTTAATTCTACTTATTACACTTTGTTCTCTTTTTAGAAGGACAGTATTTTCTTTTTATGTAACAAACTAATTTTGATGATATGAGGTGTGGTGATGAAAGCATTTAACATAATTTAAGTTACACTGACTTGTAAAAGCCAATATTAGCAGTCAACATGCCTTGGAACACACTCAAAACAAATCCATTTCTTGTGTTGAAGGAAACTTTTATACAGTGTATTTTATTGTATTATACATACAGAACATCTGTGTATGAGTTACTAATAATCATGATTGTTACTTTCCAATTGATCTCTTTTTACTACATACTCATACATGGTTACAGCTATCACAAATGATTTTCTCTTTTTTCACCAGGGAACTGGGGAATCATAAGAACCACCTCAAAAGAAAAAACCCATTTGGCATCTGATGCCAACTTCTCATACCTGTTCAAACACATTGGATTTGCCTCGAGGAAATGCAGTTTTTTCCCTCCCATCAGATAATGAACTGTTTGAACTGTATGACCTAGCTTTCAAGAATAGCTATTTCGGTATTATGTAGGTTATGGAGTCAACACTCTGAGTTTTGTTACTGATTTTTATTGATGAATAACTTGTTGTTGTTACTGGTTTGTATGGCGTGTGATCCCCTTCAAAATTAATCTTTAAATTCCATTGTCATTTCATTTGCGAACTTCAAATTGTTGTCCACAAATTCGGTTTTGTGCTCCAAATTGTGACGTGCAGATTCGGTGTTAATCTTTAAATTCCATTTTCATTTCATATGCGAGCTTCAAATTGTTGTCCACAAATTCGGTTTTGTGCTCTAAACTGTGACATACAAATTCGGTGCTCAATTCCAATTCTGTTATCAAATTCTGAACGCTTGTCTTTTGTCATTTACCTTGCAAACTTCAAATTGTTGTCTACAAATTCGGTTTTGTGCACTCAACTGTGACGAATATTGCAAATATTGTGATCTATAAATTCGGTGTTGCAAATCCCGTTCCCTCGTGTCTCGCATCCAGTCTCGCACTCATTCTGGAAGCCCATTTGAAGCATGCAAACTGGAGACAGTCTTTCACGTCCAGACCAAAGAAGGGAAATGGCAGATCAGTCCTCTGAT